AAAAAAAGAAAAAGAAATTGCACTTGGGCTCCCTTCTAGGTATATTCCCCAAAGAGTTGAAGACATTATACCACAATGATATAGGCATACCTGTGTTTATAGCAGTGCTATTCATAACAGCTAAATCTTGGAAACAGCCTGTCCATCAACAGATGAATGGATTAAAAATGTGATATTTATACACAATGGAGTATTACTCTGCCTTAAAGGATAAACCAGTCATTGTAGGAAAATGAATGTGCCATGAAATTATAATGTTAAGTGGAGTAACTCAGACACACAAACTTAAATATTTCATGACTTCTCTTAAATGAAAAAAGTAGATAAAAGACATAATAAGGAAAAAAGGTATTGTAATAGAGCATGGCAATACGCACTATCTAAAAGTGTAGGGGCTGGAGAGATGGCTCAGTGGTCTAAAGCACCTATTTGGAACAAGCTTGGCAAAGCACAAGGACCATGGTTTGATCCCCCAGCACCACATGCCAGCCAGCCCTGCCCCCTGGTGGGCTGAGCTGGCCACACACACACACACACACACACACTAAATAAATGTTTAAAAAAATAAAAATAAAAGTGTAATCTGACTTAGTATAGTTGTCTTACATGTTTTTATGTTCTTTGGCCTCTTAGTCTGGTTTTCAATCTGTATATATAACTAACTTGCTATCGATTCCCGGGCCTGGCAATTGAGATTGGGCGTGGTGGCACACACCTATAATCCCAGCTCTTGGGAGGCTGTAACCAGGCGGATCACTATGAGTCTGATCTAGTAGTGAGACCCTGAACCACTGTAGACCCTTCCCTCAAAATGGATTATCATAATAATAATAATAATAATAATAATAATATAATAATAATAAACAACTTACTAAGTTCTTATAGGATAAAGAAGTAACTCTGATGCCAGAAAAATAAAAAAGGAATGGCAAGAGGGGGAGAAGAAGGGAAGATAAATACATTATGTTCATGGACCAATCTCCTATAGTAAATGTACTCATTATGTATTGCAAACATGTAACTCCTAAAGGTAAAAAGAAAGAAATTATTTTCCCTTTGGACCAACCATAACATCTTATTGGTTCCTTCATTAATTAATGAATTAATCAATAAAATCTTTATATATGTTAAAATAAAACAAAGATGACTCCTTGTTTCCTCCCATGAGCCATCTACGTACTTTTATAGGAGCCACTGTGCTTGAGGATGGGGTACACAGTCGACAGCCCCTCATTGGCCTTCTCAGGCTTGAGATGGCCGAGACACAGCAATGTCATACGTCTGAAACTCCGAAAGAGTCAAAGATGACAATTATAAGGCTACTATAGCTTAGTGGCTCTCATCTCTCTCTGCAAATAGAAATAATATGGGAAGCTTTCAAAAGTAATGAGAGGGGGCCTGGCCCTAGCTCAGGCCTTTAAGTGGCTGCTTCCACAAAGCTGTCAGCCTCAGGTTGCTGGAGTTCAAATCTCACACCTCTCCTGCTGGCCAAAAGTGCCCTGAAGGCATTCGAGGAACCAAAAAAAAAAAAAAAAATCCTTATTCAAAAGTAATGAGAGTCCACTCTCTCACCCTTAGAGTTTGTGATTTAATTAGTCTGGAATGAGCATGTACACTTCAAAATCTCCTTAGGTGATTCTATACATAGCCAGTATTACGAGACATTGGCACACATATAAATGCTTAAGTACCCTAAAGGGAAGTAGACAAAGAACTGTAGGAATCAAACTTAAAAACAATTTATCAAAAGTGATATTTATAGTCTCTTCAAGTGGTGATTAAAGATATAGTTTCTGGGCTGGGTAGCTAGCTCGGTGGTCTAAGCGCCTGCCTGGCAAAAACAAGGATCTGAGTTTGACCACTGGTACTACATGCCATGCCAGCCCTGGGACCCTGGGTGTGCCGCGCTGGCCACCATAACCGGCATGGTGCACACACATGTAATCCCAGCACTGGGGGGGTTGAAGTAGGAAGATCATTAAGAGTGTGAGCTGTGTAGTGAGACCCTGTACCAAATAAATAAACAAATAAATTTTTAAAAATTAAAAATGAAGAACCTAGAGCGTTAGACTGATAAGCAAAAGGTCCTGAGTTCGATTCCTGGTATACCTCCCCCTAATTTTTTTTTTTTTTTTTT